TAATTGCTTGATTTCACTGGAAATGTTGGCTGTGATCTCACAAATTGATTTATCTTCTCCTCTCTCTTTTTCCCAGAATGGTCTGCACCAGTTCTGTTTTCTCGTCTTCTTTGTCGTTTGCTGCATCGTGGCTACCGTAATCTTCTTTGTTGTCCCAGAAACCAAAAATAAGACGTTTCTGGAGATCCAGAATGAGTTCCTCAGCAGAAGGAGGACTGCATCAAAAGGCTCGGACCCGCTGCTGCCCACTTCACTGTAACTCATGGCCCTGCAGGAAGAAAAATGAGGCACACTCCTTCATTCCTGACCGTTTATTTCTGTTCAGTGTCCAGTGAGTTAACACTGTGCAGAATAAGAGTCGTTTAACCCTTAGAAGTCTAGAGTTATTACTGTTGTTTTGCTGTACTTTTACATAATTGTTTCTGAAAGGTTGTAGGTAGTTACATTATAAATTACATTTAGATTTGATTTACATTCTGTGTGGACAGGTTTGAGTCTGCACTTCTGACTTTTTTCGATGTGAAGAAGTGACCAAAACATGGCACAAATGTGAAGGATGTTTTTCCTCATGCAGAACGAGCCTGTATAAACAAAAGTAACTTTTCATCAGATTGAGATCATAATAAAGTGTCTCATCTTCTATGTACAAACACAAATGTGGCATGCAGGGCCAGGTTACGACCCTCTGGTGGCTCTGGGTATTACAGCTTTAGTGCCCTGTCCCCATGAACCCAGTGAAAATAACCATTTGCTGAAAAGGTCTTGTTTTTACTGAAGACTTGTTCTATTGATTCATCGCAAACTATGTAACCTCAATCAGAGTCACCTCCTCAGCTAAGACCTTGTCAATGTCGGTCAAGAATCACTGTAAAACGCCAAAATAAGATGCCAAAGATGCCGAATTCGAATGTCAAATTGATGGCATGGTGGAGTGGTTGTTATTGTACTTGGTGACTGTGACCTCTAAGTGTTATAAATCAGTTATAAAGCACATTTATATACAGTATGCTGATTTTGCAGTGCCTTGATACACACCTCGTTTTCCATCATCGTTTCAAGAGGGACGGTTTTTAAATTGTAAAATTGTAGACGGGTACATTTTATCATAAAACCAGTCATTTTATCCATCAGCTGTACTGTTCACCATGGTGTTATTATTATTATTATTATTATTATTATTATTATTATTATTCGCTGTCCAAAGAAAACCATGTATCTCCTTTTTTGTCGATTTTTATTTTTCTAGGTTATTTGAACATGTAATTTCTCCTTTACATTCTGTAAAACATTTAATGATGATTGGCCCAGTATAAATACCCCAAGGTACTTGGAGGTACTTGTTTTTCTTTGGACAGTGACATATTATTATTTCAAGTATTTGTGAGATGCTCTCTGGATCATAAAACTGCTTGCATAACAAATTTACATGCGTACAACCCTTGCACAATAAAAATGTCCAAACATGCCATCATGTTATTTGTATTTGTCGTTAATTCTGGTCAACGTCAAACTTTGTTTTTGTAAGAAAAAGCTTTATTACAATAAAATGAAAATTTGACTCCAATTTCGGGAAGAATCTGTGACTCATTTGACTTTTTTTATTTTATTTGGGGAGATGGTGGACTGCATGATTTATGATTTATATGTCAGATTTATATGTCTAACATATAATTAAGCAATAGAACCCCAAGGGGGAATGTTTTATTGCGAAATAACATCACGGCTGTGATTTGGTCGCCGTAGATCATCACAGCCGTGATGTTATTGGCGATAACGCACTCCTCCAGTGTTCTATTGCTTTAATACAGCAGTTAAATAAATAGAGTAATAAATTAATAAACTGGGCCGTGAACGCGGCGTTTAATATGTTTTAATGTTCGCAGTTCCTTCACCAAATTATAGTTCCTTAACGAGCAGCTTGTTGCTACGTCAGAGTAACGAGCTCCGCCCACTCGCTGCACAGCCGGCAGTTCGTTCTCCAGCTCCTTACACTAAATTCCCAAACTGTCATCACCACTGAGCAGCTTATTAGTTTTTTATTGTGGCAGTAATATGGCTCAGTCTGATTCGGTCAGACTCCACGTTTGGCAATGGTATTGGGTTCATTTCTGGCTGATTCCAGGTTGTTTAGCTGTTCTTCTGTCACAGCTGCCGACTGAAAAGCTGCTCAGTGGTGATGACAGTTTGGGAATTTCGTGTCGTCTCATCTTCAGAGTCTGAGCAAATCGGACTGAGCCATAAAATTGCCGCAATATCAAGTTCAGCTCAGTTTTGTCAGTTTTTGCCAGATCAGTATTAATGTTGTTTTGTTCCAGCCAGTCTGTAAAGCATCTTACAGCCCATTTAGTTTGGCGAAAGGTATTGGGTTCATTTCTGGCTGATTCCAGGTTGTTCAGCTGTTCTTCTGTCTCAGCTGCCGACTGAAAAGCTGCTCAGTGGTGATGACAGTTTGGGAATTTCGTGTCGTCTCATCTTCAGAGTCTGACCAAATCGGCTGTCGGTCAAATGTGATCTTAAAAGTGTCCATTTTCTGTTTGTGGCAAAGTGAGAAGTAAAAACGTTCAAATGGCTTGAGCGTCTCCTACAGCTGTCAAACTTCTCAGCGTCTCAGCAGAGTGATACAGTGTTTGTGAAAAAGCTGTGATGTTATGGTGAAATAACAGCACAGTTAGAACGCTTCTCAACCAATCAGCTTGCGTGGCCAGAACTAACTGTTGTATATTTCTCGGTAGCTGTCGCATCATCTGCACAACAAAGTGATTTGAAGTCACATGGGCCACCACTATCTAAAGGGTTTTGACGTGGGCTGTAGGTTTGTGGCGCTTAGTGTTTGGGGATTAGGAGATCAGGATTTACTGGAACCCTACATTCCTTAATAAGCTGCATCCTACAAACATTGCAGGCTACAACTTTTTTTACGAAATAAATAGGAAAAAAACGTCTAAGTAAATAGAAACTCATCATACATGAATTTATGGAGCCTCACTAAAACGCCGTGTAGTTATGTCAGTCGTGTTATTTTGGTTTTGTACAAAGAATATTTAGCGATGTGTCAATTTACATTTACCTCGTTCTGTGATGGTTGTTTGGTCGATGGGAGGATTTAAAACAAAATAATTTTCGTACCTGTTTTTTCCTTTTTCCATCGTTTCATCTGACTGTTCTGTCCTGTTCACAGAACTGCTCTGCCACCTGAGAAGGTCGGTAGATTGGTGGGTGGGGGGACCAAAGTCAGAAGCCCCATTCTCAAAAGGCTGGGATTGAGAATGAAGTGAGAGATTTAAAGTCATGAAAAGATACACGATACCTGCAAATCGTAAAGAAATGTTGAATTTGCGTTATAGTTCTTAAACATTAAATATTAAATGAAATAGTAAATGTTAACTATGCAAAATTGTATTGAGTAATTGAGAAATGAATAAATCCAAAGACACAAACAAGGAAAAAGTATTAAAAGAAAAAAAATATATAGTCAGAATAAACTTGATATAATTCAAGCGTTCTTTATTTGACACTAACGAACATGATTTAAAATAAGTGTTAAATAATTAATTTTTACCAAAGTATTACCAAAACAATTACAGCAAGAGAAGAAAGAAAGTAGGAAAGGAAATGCAAAAAACTTGGACTCTTCATTTATAAGACAGACGTTAAGCATCTAGAAGATGAAATGTTGATTACACAATTAAATATTTAATGTTGTAATTTCACAGTGTATCAATATCTACAACACTAGCTTTTGTCTTGTTAAAGGTCCATTTACTAAGATACTGGAGAGACTTTATTAGCTGCAGCCACATCGTGGCCACGTTTGTTGGTGACCACTCTGCACCCGACACATTTACTAGCCATATTAGGAATATTTCACACCATCTGCACCACTACGGTGAGAAGTCACATGAGCCATTTTGACTGGTACCGTTTAATACACCGATCAGGCATCACATTATGACCACCTCCTTGTTTCTACGCTCATTGTCCATTTTATCAGCTCCACTTACTATATAGGTGCACTTTGTAGTTCTACAGTTACAGACTGTAGTCCATCTGTTTCTCTGATACTTTGTTAGCCCCCTTTTACCCTGTTCTTCAGTGGTCAGGACCCCCATGGACCCTCACAGAGCAGGTACTATTTGGGTGGTGGGTCATTCTCAGCACTGCAGTGACACTGACGTGGTGGTGGTGTGTTAGTGTATGTTGTGCTGGTCTGAGTGGATCAGACACAGCAGTGCTGCTGGAGTTTTTAAAACACTGTGTCCACTCACTGTCCACTCTATTAGACACTCCTACCTTGTCAGTCCACCTTGTAGATGTGAAGTCAGAGACGATAGCTCATCTGCTGCTGCACAGTTTGTGTTGGTCATCCTCTAGTCCTTCATCAGTGGTCACAGGACGCTGCCCACAGGACGCTGTTGGCTGGATATTTATGGTTCTCAGTCCAGCAGCGACACTGGGGTGTTTAAAAACTCCAGCAGCACTGCTGTGTCTGATCCACTCAGACCAGCACAACACACACTAACACACCACCACCACGTCAGTGTTACTGCAGTGCTGAGAATGATCCACCACCCAAATAGTACCTGCTCTGTGAGGCTCCATGGGGGTCCCAGTTGCAGAGGGCGGGTGTCAGTCCGAGAGTGAGGAGCTTTTCTGAGAGTTTGTGTGGGATGACCACACATGCCAGTAATTATATCACAATATTTTGGGAGTATTGATGACCACTGAAGAACAGGGTAAAAGGGGGCTAACAAAGTATCAGAGAAACAGATGGACTACAGTCTGTAACTGTAGAACTACAAAGTGCACCTATATAGTAAGTGGAGCTGATAAAATGGACAATGAGCGTAGAAACAAGGAGGTGGTCATAATGTTATGCCTGACCGGTGCATATATGTATGTATGTATGTATGTTCATATATATATTTTATTAGGGGCAAGTCGCTTCCTTTAGGCGTGTTTTTCTCGCGAGATCTGGCAACCCTTCTGTTTATATCTCTCTCTCGGGGGCCTGGTTCTCCTCACTGTGGCTGTAATGGCGGTTGCTCCAGTAAAAGCCTATCTGGACCTCATTTCGCAGCCCTGCAGGGCTCTGCTGATCTTCCTCAAACACAACCAGATCCCTCACACGGTGCAGAGCGTGGCTCTGAGGAGAGGTGAGCTTCAGCTACAGGATTTAAAAGCTTGTTTATGTCTCGTCTTCATATAACTGTCTACTAGCTGCACCGCAGTCAGGTTGCCCTGTTTTTCTCCAGCTTGTGTTTTTGTAATGCTCCGTTCCACCTTAAACGGTGCAGCAGCGTAACCTAACTGCCGCAACATTTAAGGTGGCACGGAAAATTCGACCCGTTTCCGAATTTGTCTCCGCAGGAGAGCAGAAGAGCGCAGAGTTCACCCGCCTGAACCCCATGCAGAAAGTCCCTGTGATCGAACACAAGGGCTTTGTCCTGACTGAGAGGCGAGTGTGCTTTTATTATGTAGAGTTTTATAAAATAAAAGTCAGCAACAAATCTGACCTTCAACTGGGTCAGGAGCAGGCAGGCATATATGAGATGTTGTCTTAATCATAATGAATTATGTCACACTTTTCTGAGTATATCATGTGGACGGTTGATGCAACAAAGTCAGATTTAAACCAGTTTGTAAAATAAAGTCTGTAAAAAAACTAGTTTTAGATTCAAGATTCAAGAGTGTTATTGTCATATGCACAGCAGAAACAGGCAGTTACACTGTACAATGAAATTCTTACTTTGCTGTTCCTCCTTTCACCAATATAGTCTTATATATATATATATATATATATATATATATATAGTCTTAATATATAAAGTATAAGAATATATTAAATACACTAAGTATAAATACACTAAAAAAAAGTTAAAAAGTGCAGTTATATGTACAAAGTTGAAAGAAAAATTAAAGTTACGTGTGCGTAGCGCAAGTATGTAGAGCAGCGGTTCATAAAGTGCATTAACAGATGTAAACAGTAGTGTTCTGACAGCAGCAGTGTGTGTAAGGTGCAGTTATTGATTGCAAAGTCGGCCAAAAGTTAAACCAGTTCAGAGTGGGAGGGGGGAAGAGGTAGTGAGTGAGGTGTTCACAAGCCTGATGGCCTGTGAATAGAAACTGTCTTGTAGTCCTGGACTTCACACTTCTGTAGCGCCTGGCTGAAGGTAGGAGTGTGAAGAGTTGGTGCTGGGGGTGTGTACTGTCCCTGATTATGTTGTGGGCCCGCCTGATGACCCTGGTGTGGTAAGTGTCCTGTAGTGAGGGGAAGGCTGCTCCTGAGATGGACTGTGCAGTTTTGATCACACGCTGGAGAGCCTTTCTGTCCTGAGCAGTGCAGTTTCCATACCAGACCTTGATGGAGCTGGTAAGAACACTCTCGATCGTACTCCTGTAGAAGGTGCTGAGAATTTTGGCTGGCATGCCGAATTTCCTCATCCTTCTCTGAAAGTACAGTCTCTGCTGGGACTTCCTGATGATGAGGTGTGTGTTGTGAGACCAGGTGAGATCCTTACTGATGTGGATGCCAAGGAGTTTGAAGGTTTTCATCCTCCCCATGTCTGTCTCACCTATGTACAGGGGGGTGTGCAGCTCCCGCTTTCTCCTTGAATCAACTATCATTTCCTTGGTCTTGTCTGCATTCAAGGAAAGACTGCTGTCATGACACCAGGCCAGCAGCTCAGCCACCTCCTTCCTGTACGCTGTCTCATCCCCACCAGTGATCAGTCCAATGACAGTAGTATCATCAGCAAACTTGATGATGCTGGTGTTGTTCTGGGAGGCCACGCAGTCGTGCGTGAAGAGCGTGTACAGAAGGGGGCTCAGCACACAGCCCTGGGGGACCCCTGTGCTCACTGTTCTTGTGCTGGATGTGCGGCTCCCGACTCTGACTGACTGGGGTCTGTCTGTTAGAAAGTTCAACACCCAGTTGCAGAGGGCGGGTGTCAGTCCGAGAGTGAGGAGCTTTTCTGAGAGTTTGTGTGGGATGACCACACATGCCAGTAATTATATCACAATATTTTGGGAGTATTGATGATATCCTATCATATTGCGATATCACATATCATATATCTTTAATTATAGAGCTTTTCATGGTGGTGGCAGCTCAAAGTGCTTTACAGACAGGTGATAAAGCTTTACAGTGATGGAAGAAACTGTGAGTGTTAATTTAAAATCATAAGACAACGACACAGATTAGATTAAACATAAATACCAGAAGAGATGTGGAATTTTTATTTTAATTAAATGCTATGGTAAAGAGATATTTTCAGATGTTTCCTAAAACTGTGAACTGACCTTGACTGTTTCATAAAAGGCCGTGTATATTAATATAAATGGTGATAACTGTGTTACATATCAGGATGTCACATATATTGGATGTCATCAATAGAGTACAAATAGTACCGCATGTATCATAAGACAGCAGATTTAGGCTAATTATAGAAGCCTGTAAATAACAACAAACCAGTGTACAGTAACCGAATAGTAACAGTGAGCTGATTGGATGCTACCTATTATGAATTATCTCATTTTATTCATTTATTTTCAATCCTGTTCCTACATAAGTAAAAAAAATAAATAAAATTTGGGCTAAAAATGTGTTTGTATTTTTCTATAATATGTTTTTGAAAAAAAAATGAAAGTCTAATCATACATTATTATCAGAATTATTAAAACATTTTTGGGTTTGTTGTATCACAGGAAAACAGATGAAATAAATTTAGCAAACAATTTAGTGAAACACCAATTTTAAAGTTTTAAAAGGACTAAAATGTGACGCTTCTGCTCATATTTGTGTGTAAGCATGTATGTTAAACTGTTCTTCACTAATACAAAATATGAGGGAACCCTGTGCACGCATGAATATCAAAATGAGTCAGAAGGCACATTACTAATTATTACTGGGTTTTATACTGTGCAACATTATTCAAACTGGTAGCCAGTCTGAACAGAAACAAAATGGTTTATGCTTTATTTCTTCCCATGATGACTTTTATTTTGTTATTGTCTTGTTTAATGTAGTGACGCTATATTAAAATATCTGGCGACGGTGTGTAACGTCCCGGAGCACTGGTACCCCCGTGAGCCAATGCGGAGGGCTCGGGTGGACGAATACACAGCCTGGCACCACACCAACACACGCCTGCACACCCACAAGGTCTTCCTCTCGGAGGTGAGCTTTCAGTCACGTCGATATTAATATTATGCAGTTAATATTTATGCAGTTGCATGCAAACGTTTGGGGGCTTCTGTTCAAATTTTGTATTGATTTAAGTTAAAAAATAAAAGGCACGTCCTCTACAGAGACACACTTACTGTTTATTACTGTTTATTTACTGAATTTAACATACTGGGGATAAAACATAACGTGGCCTGTGCAAAAGTTACAGCATATTTTTATAGTTTAGGTTCTGGAATGCATTCCAATTGGTAAATCGACAAAGAAATTATGCACTAAAATGTGCAGAAAAGTGCCATATTTAAGTAGGTTGTTGGTAAGGATGTTTATTTTATTATTTATTTATTTTTAAATCAACAAACTGTCATTTGAGTGGGGGGGGGGTTCAAACTTCTACATACAAATTTATGCTATGTAATGTTTTTACTGGCTAATACACACTTATTCCCAAGATAACGTCAGTGGTCCAACTCCACCTGTGCAGATTATAATGTCCAGCATGTTGGGCCGTCCCGCTGACCCGGCCGAGCTGCAGAAAGCTCTGGAGGAGCTGGAGCAGACTCTGCAGAAGCTGGACGAGATGTTCCTCAAGAGGCAGGCGTTCCTGTGTGGAGACGACATCAGCATTGCTGACCTGCTGGCCGTCTGCGAGATCATGCAGGTCAGTGACAGATTTCAGGATACGTTAATCGTACAGGCAATTAGAATAATATTAATAATAATGTTTACCTATGAGAATGTAGTGTTTACCTGTCCCTCAACGTGTTAAATTCAGTAAATAAACAGTAATCATCTATTAAAATATTCATTTAGGTTCACTTATATAATCAGCAAAGTGTTGTTTGAATAGGGTGCCCAAACTTTTGTATACGACTGTACTGTGCATGGTTTTTCCTGTTTCTGCTATGTTTTCATGCCTGTCTTAAATTGCAGGGATGGTTATTAACATTCACTTTAGTTAAAGTCTAATTGAATGTAATTAAACTGAACTGAATTTAATTGAATGTTATTAAACTTAAACTAAAGTTGAATTGAATTGTGTGTTGTAGCCTCTCGGCGGCGGTCGGGACGTCCTGAAGAACCATCCGAATCTCCACAGCTGGAGATCCAGGGTGCAGGCGGTTCTCGGAGAGCCGTTTAACGAAGCTCACAGCATCCTGTACCGGCTCAGGGACAAAACCGCAGCAAAGCGATAACCCAAACATGCTGGAATATATTTAGATGGTACACGTTGTCGTTTCCTGTGAGGCGTTGCTCCTGCTGGCAGGACTGTATTTGGTTGAAAGAAAAAGGCAGTAAGTCTAAGTTTTGGTTGCATGTTCATACGCTCATTGTTGGGCCGTTTCCTGATGAATAGCCCCAGGCAGGGTTCTGTGGTTGAGCACAGCCAGAGATTTAAAGACAAATTATATTTCCTCTCGGAAATAAGAGCGATTTTGCTCTCTTGTACGGCTGAAATCGGGTCAAAATAAAGCTGCCTTATGGTTAAAAACGTTGAGCTGTCTGTGCTTCTGCTGTGTACTTCCCACATTACAGTACACTGACTACTTAACAGCCTTGTAATTCAGAGGACTCTGAAATACAGGATAAAACAGTGCATATTAACTTAGGAACATTTTGTTTACCAAAACCTGTGCAGTGAAAACGCTGTTCATTTTATCCCCGTAGAGAAAAACAGCTGGAGTTTCTTATTTGGGCATTTTGCTAATTGTAAAATGAAATGGTGATTTCAGAGAGCGCATCATTTCGGCTCTGATTACTTGTAGTGAGCCTGTAAACGGAGATTTTCCATCAGATTGTTGAGTTGAGTGAGCATAA